ATCACTATGATTAATCAAATTTATTAAAAAAGATAAGCCAACTTGTGTTTTTATTTGTGTGATTACACATGTTGGGAGGTGCATGAAGAGTGTTATGAGTCTTTTGACTCTACAAAATACTATCTATGTCCTACTTTACAGTATATAATATAAACAAAAGTATGACATTTCATAATATTAATTGCGTTTTTATGCAAGAAAATACGGTTGCCTAGCAATTAACAGTGACATTTGTGTATATATAATATATATATTATGTTAAAATTTATGGATACATACCCCTTGAATGCATTGAGTGACCAAATGAGGAAGTTGGGATTTCCCTTTGAAGTCACCAAAAACAGAGCCCACAATTCTTCTGCCACTAAACAGCTCCATTGGGTGGAGGGGAAGCAGATTTGGTGTTTGATGTATCCCTAAGATTACTGTTAAACCCCAACCCTACACATCACACCATCATTAAAATAAAGTGATTTACTATTTTAGTTAATCTCACAATTAAGAAAAGTTGATTTGATTAGTTTGGGGTTTTAGATGAGATCTAATACATAAAAAAAAATAATATAAATAAAAGCATAACATTTCAAAAATAATGATTGGTTGAACAGACTAACCATTAAATTGCTCCACAGAAGAATTTTATGAAATTAAGCGCAAGGTGGTGTATACCAATATTAATCAACTAATTTCCCATTCAATTGTAATATAATGAATCTAATCCATAAAAAATATATGTAATTTTGGAAAATAAAAATTTGGAAAAAGAAAAATAAATAAAGGAGGAAATTTATTTACATCGTGTGTGGACAAAAAGGCCTCTCGAAGGACGTCCAAATTTCCTACACACTCGAAGCTATAATCCACACCTCCTTCGGTCATTTCACTTATGATCTGCATTAATCACCGTCTAAAACAAATTAAACCACCATCATATAAAAATCCAGCCAAAAAAAAAAAAAATAATAATGTTTCCTACTTATTTGATTAATTGTTTAATTATTCTATGTCATATTAATATAATTAGCATTTAAAGCAAATAATAACCGTGTTGTGAACGAACAAATATGACCGAAAAAAAAAAGTCATATCCAGTTTATCTATATTAAATGCATGTGTCTTGTGAATTTTTCTCACTCGTTGGATTTTTTAAAATGTTGAATCACGCATGCTAACACTCTTTCTCGTGAGTATGTATTTACTCAACTATAATATATTCAATTAGCTTACACTCACTTGTAAGTATAAAAATTGTAATATCATCTATATATGACATCTAATATATAGTTTATTAAGTTATATAGTATCATAACATATAATATTTATTGAAACAGTCAGAAATTAATTAATTATATCGAGTACACTAGTGATTTTGAGTTATGTTAGGTCCAGCCCCTACCAGTGCATAATTAATTAATTATTATAAACTGTTAAATACTGGCACTTTCATAGACAGTTGTAGATAAACTGACCTCGTGCACTGGCTTGACCAGCTCCTTGGGATTTATGAAGTCTGTGATCCCGATTGCTTCACCTGCAAAATGAATATATATGTTAAAATTCCTAAAATTGACTTGAAAATATACATATTTATATAATACTTAAAATTTTAATATTTTGATTTTGTACCGAAATCCGAAGAAGGAAAAGAATAAAACCCCAAACCTAATTGATGCCAAGATAAACACTAAATTAAAGTCTAGTGTTAGTACAATCAAATCCAACAAGCTGAGATTGAACATTTCGAGTTTGTATTCCATTATGTTCGAATATTTTCCGTGTGGGTTCATTTACAATTCGAGCAGAAACTGTTATTCGAGCTAGTTTGTTTAGTTGTTCATCAAATTTTGACATTGTTTGCATTCAAACAATTTAATAAACAAATTTATTGAGACTGTTTTGAGTATATGTTGGATCAAAATAGTTTGAGGTCAAAAGTAATAATAATAAAAAAAATCATACTTTATTATTTTTTGTAACAAAATATCTCTCACACTCATATATACAACTAAATACATTAAGTTAATAATGCTCACAAACATTTGAACGATAATTTTTACGAACGAGATTGTGTTTGTTCGATCAGCCAAGCGAGCCTAATTTCTTGTAACGATAATTTTTACGAACGAGATTGTGTTCGTTCGATTAGCCAAGCGAGCCTAATTTCTTGTATGAGTTCGACTTGATTAATAAACGAACATGTTATTTTTTGTCGAGCATGAACGAGTTCGAATATATTTTCTTTTGCAAATATTTAATTTATCTAGTTTCACTTTTCTTTTATATTTTTTTTACATATAAAGTACCTTTAATACGTTTGTCTGCATTGACATCTACTCCAATAATTCTGGATGCCCCCCTGGTCCTTGCCCCTTCCACCACCTTAATCAACAATTAACGAAGTTATTAGTAAACTCGAAGATAACTAATCTCGAATATCATAATTAGTTTAATTATGATGATTTATTTAAATTTGTCACTTTCATGCACTAATGAAACTCGTCATGTCAAACAATAAATATATTTTGCCGGATGTCAACTCATCATTAATGTGTGTGTATATATTATTATAATATGTGGTGGATGTGGAGCAGATGTCATAAATCACATTTCTAAAATAAGATTCTAAAATGGCGTGCCATTTTTCAATTGTGACCCATATAATAAATGATCGAAACTAATAATTATGGATTTACTATATATAGTCTATATTATGAAATGGATCAGATTATCTATTCCACATACTTATCTACTACAGTATCTTAAGATGAATAATCCGCGTCTACAAATATAATACTAAGGAAAATTAGTATATTTCAAAGAAAAAAATTAAGGTAATATATTCCAACGAATATTCGAATAGTATATTTTCCGTCAGAATAATTCCAACGTAATTCCAATGAAAATATTCCATTGGAATGAGTTTTTCATTGAAATTTTATATGGAATTTGATGATTCCAACGACTATTTTTCCAACGGTTTCTTTTGGAATATGCAATTTTCGTAGGAATTTTTATTTTCACAACCGTTTGGAAATCTACCGTTGGAATTGTCCAACTCCAATAAAAATTTCAATTAAAAACTCATTCCAACGGAATATTTATGTTGGAATCAATTGAAAATTCCAACAAAAATAATAACATTAGAATATCTATTAAAATTTTTATTGGAATATATTTGTGTTGGAATTTTCAATTGAATTTCATCATTCTGTTATAGTGGAGCATGTATACGTATAATTCATTCAATAAAATAAAACACAAGATAAATCTCATTTCTAAATGAGAATTTATTTCATTTTATTACGCAGTTCAACCCAATATAACTTTTTTTTGGGAATTTATTATATATATATGACTATATAATCATTAAATATACTTAATTTCAATTTTTTTTTTACATAAACTGCGTGTCATAATATATAATATATACTTTAAAAAAAATACTTACAGCCAATCCCACAGCTCCGAGGCCGAAAACAGCCACAGTTGCGCCCGCCCGAATATCAGCTGTATTCCACGCTGCCCCTAGGCCTTAACATTACATACCATTTAAAATGAAACAAGTAACAATAGTTTCAATTAACCAAATGTAAGTGAATAAAAATTAATTAATTTTGGTATCTCTGTTAATTAGGCTCAACTAATAGTATGAAAAAAAAAGTCCCTAGACTAATAACTTGATGGTTGTTTTTTCAACTTATAACCAACCCTATAACTATATATAGTATAATATCACTAGACTAGACAAGTATTAGTAATGCTAAGGAGCCATCCGATGGCTCCTTAGCATTACTACTATACAGTATATACACAATTGGTCTTCAATTTTAATTAATTTATTACCAGTTGAGAGTCCACAGCTAAGCAGTGACATTTTGCCAAGTGGCGCGTCCGAGTGGATCTTGACGACGCAGGCAGAGTCGAGCACAGTGTACTCGGTAAAAGTCGACGTGTTTAAAAAGTGGTAGATGGGCTTCGACCCATTTTTGGTTCGAAACCTGGACTTGCCGTCATTGACCATCGTGCCCTTGAGCGGGTCGACCCTGAATTTGCGGCACATGTTGGTCTTGGGCGACTTGCACTGCGCGCAGTCTCCGCATTCGCCGTTGAATATGGGCACGACATGGTCTCCTATACCGATGTCCGTCACGCCGGGGCCCACGCTCTCCACTAATCTGTATATTTGTTTGAGATTTTGAGTGATGTTTTATTTTATTTTTAAAAATTCAAGATTCTTTAGAATTTTTATGATTCTTTGATTTAACTGGAATCTTTGGAAATCACATATTTGGAGATGAGATTTTGTGTGAGATTTCGTGTAAGATTTTCATTTATATATGTGGTTTTTTTGTCTTTCAACTACTAGAAAGTCTTTGAAAGTCCAATCAAATCTGAGTGCTAGATAAATTGAATACATCATTGACTTTTCTTAAACCCTTTTGAAATCTCAAATGAATATCTCATTGTTTATTGAGACTTTATTATAAATTTTTAAGTTTCAAGAAGTCTTAGGAATCCGAAATGAATACACCCTTTTTAGTATTTGAGTGAAATGTGTGGTTATAGATGTTAAATGAAACGAGAAGTTCATGAGCTCGATTCAGTTTGGTTCGACCCGACTCGTTTGATAAACAAGACGAGCTCGAGTTCGCTTAAAGCGCCGAGCTCGAGCTTATTTAAAGGTCATTTCGTTAACAAGTCGGACTTGGCTCGTCTCGTTAAGGCTTGAAAAGATAATTTTTATAAAATTTTCTATGGTTCGACTCGTTAAAGCTCAAATTTGGCTCTTTAATATTGTTAAACAAGCCGAGCTCGACCTCGATTTCTGGCTCGTTTACTTAACGAGCCGAGCAGGTCTCGTTAAGGGGCTCAAGCTCGAGCACTCTGAGTTCAAGCTCGTCTCGTTTACAACCTTATGTATGATGCATTCAGATTTTTAGAATGATGGATCGATATTCCTAATCGTGTGATGAAATTCTCGTTCTCGATAACTTATATTCCTGTCTTCTTGCCTAGTTCTTACCCGGAAGCTTCGTGGCCGAGGATTCGAGGGAACATCTTATGAGCTTCGTTCTTGAACATATGAATCCCGTAACAAACAAACAAACAAATCACTTCACCATAAGTAGGAAAATTTTCAAACAAAAAATGCAAAAAAGAAAAATAGGCTAAAAAAAGAAAACAAATACCTGGCCTTCCCAAGCACTAAGATCAGTGTGACAAATAGAGGTGAAAAGCACCCTAATTCTGACTTCCATAGCCTGAGGAACTTCGACTTCAATCTCCTCAACTACCAACGCCTCTCCCGGCCCATATGCAACAGCCGCTGCAAAATATTATCATTTTCCAATTAATGTCTGATAATATTACATATCCACGTTGCACACAAAATCGAACTATATATATTTTTTTTATTAATATATACCTTTGCAGGTTATGACTTTGCCGATAGTGTCTCTGGAGATGGGATTAACAACATTGTTGTTAATTAGGCTTCCCAAACAAACCAAACTACCCATTCTTAATTGTAATATTGTTGTTAGTAAAGGGTGCACTTATTAGAGGTTCATGAAAGTGTTGCCACAATATATAGAGAGAAACCCGGCCGAGTCACATCAAATAATTTAATATGTATATAGAGAAACCCGGTCGAGTCACATCAAATAAATTAATTATGTAGTTGGGGGTACACATAAGGGTATTAATTATTCATACAACTGATAAGATGAAATGAGTCCTCTCATATCTTTTATTATGTGGACTTCTGCAGCCCATGTGAGTATATATGATAGATACCCTAATGAAGACTTTGATTGGTCAACTAATTATAATATTGTGCCCAATCGCATGTGAATCGATGTTAAGTGAGACTACATCCCAGCTCAAAAATTGTGAGTATAAAATTGTAGTTATTAGGGTATTTGTGATTAATTATTAAGAAAAATGGCTGACAAAATAGTAAAAAAGGAACTAATAGTATAAGGTCGAGGCACGTAAATATGTGTTCTCCATTTAATGTAAAATAGTCCTATAAATTACCAATGATTGACGGCTAATTTTTATTACGTAAATTAATTATTATACAATATAATGAATTTTTATTACGTAAAGTATTCTTAATTTGAGTGAATGCATTTCTAATTTGCCTTTGGAAAGAAAAAAAAAAAAGAAAAAAATTGAAGATCATTGGTTAGGAGAGTTTGAATTTATGAAACGACATCTGATCAACTGATTAATGATCAAGGAATGCATTTCTTGGACTTTACATACATAATTATATTGTTGTGATGAGTTGCAAATNAAAAAAAAAACGACAATTGTAGTTGTTTTGCCAAAAGCCAAATATTAATTTTAGTTTTGATGAATTTGTTATTTTCATAACAAATAAAGATTAAAAAAAGTAGATGCTTTCGGTCACATTATAAATATATCTTTCTTTTAACATTATAAAAAATTTACTAACTTAAATAATAAATATATTGAAAAGTTAATAAATTTTTTATTTAGTAATAAATTTTTATATATAATATTCAAATTAATCATGTCTTGATGAGCTCGATTTGACATCTATATTATAATAAATAAATAGTTTATTTATCTTTATAATTAGAATTAAATTGTCTATTAATGTTACCTCAAAAAAATAAAATTATTTAAACTAACTTAACTACAAAGTAGTTACCTGATATAAATTAAAAAAAATTATAGTATAAGGTGGTAACTCGTGTAAGTGACAGTGTCATTTTAAATATGAATAATAATATATTATTTAATAACTAAAACATTTCTTGTTATTATTATTTAATATTAAATATAAATTTTTTAACCAATCCTCATGTAGTACACGACTATTGTATTAGTATATAATATATGCTTGCGCATTTGAAATTTTGAATTGGTAACATGAAAATACATATCTATAAATTAGCAAACCGAATCCAATCCGAGAAAACCAGTCTCCAGAAGACATTTCTGAATCCTCCCTAACAATAAGTGGGCTCTCACTTGTTGGGCCTTATCATGGGTCCAACTTATGACTGAGCCAAGAATATGAACATCGAGTTCGTTTCCAACATTGTTTCACATATCTTTCTTTGGTTTCCTTTATGGTTTTAGTGAGAAGGGACAAGGGTATAGAAAAGTCAATTCACATATCAAAATCATAAAATTATGAATCATCATTAACTTCATTATGCATTATACATATTTCATGGCCGTTCGATCTGTTTTGACGGCTCTACTTATCACTCTGTAGTGTCGTGGATTTTACGGCTGGTTGCCTTGTTTTGCGGTACTGTTCATCATTTTACAGTGTAGCACTTTTGGTTTTTGAGTGAAATTAATTAATTATTTTCTGTATTTTTATTTTATATTTCTTGCCTCCAAGGGAAAAAAAAAATGTTTTACATAGGACCATAGTCAGGTAGAATTCACAAAACTTCACACAAACCGGAATTTAAGGATATTAGTGGAATTAGCACCTTCTATTAGCTAGCATCCAAAAATTGAAATGTTTCCCAAGGTTTCCAGGGTCGGCCACTTATATGTAGTAACCAATTCTTACTTCTTTTATTATTTTGTAATTATAATTATTATTGTAAGAAAAATTGGTTTTGTACTGATTTAACGATTCTATATTTCGTAAGTAGAAGACTTAGGAAATTCTCAAAACCTTTTTAAGGTGAATGAGAAATTAATTCTAAGTGTTATATGTTAATTATTGTCCATTGCAAATGGAGTTGGAAGAGTCATTGTTAACAATTCTCCTGGCATAGTGCTAATAATGGACTAGATCAAAATAGCTCAATTAAATTCTAGTGCTTCTTCTATTAGTGAAGTTTCTAGAAAAAAAAATATATCAAACGACGCAATGCACCTTGGGTCGCTACGGAAACAACCTCCTTGTATAATTACAAGGGTAAGGTCTGCGTACAACTGACCCCCCAGACCCCAACCTGTTGGGAATATACTGGGTATGTTGTTGTTGTTGTTGTTGTTGTTATATGTTAATTAATTGAGTTTAAATAACTCAAAGATTGTAGGGTTCACAAACATTCTGTTTTGACAAATGTTTGGACAAACTAAACGAGCCATAATTATGCATTATATATGCTAGTATTGTAGAAGGGCTCGTAGGGGGCAAGTAGGAAAAAATGGAACTCGATTCCGAGTCCGTATGAGCTCGTACGAGCCCGTGGCGCACGGGCGCGCAACTGGCTGCGGAAATCAAAGGGTTGCAACCCTTGGTGACCATAATGTATCTTTTGGCCACTAGATGCATCCGTTCTCGTACGCGCACGTCCCAAAAGGTGTCTTTTGACACTTAAACCTCTTGGAGGTGTTTCCCTACATCTATAAATACCCACAAACATGAAATCATTTAGTAGATGAAATTTTCCAAGAGTCTTTGCATCCTTTTTACAAAGTTCATATTCATCTTGTGTTCTTTGTGTTCTTTCTTATCTTGAGAGTTCCGAAACTTGAGTATTGTCCGTCGAAGGTTTGTGTATTTGAGTTACCGCTATACACAAATCGAAGTCGTTGTATCTTGGAGGCGTTAGCCGTGAACCGTGGGTAATATACGGGGCTATTTCGTCTTAAGAAGGGCGTACCTTACGTGCCTCGACTTGTGATTTCGTCATTTTTCTTCTGATTTCTTAAGCCTTTTTTTTATATTCACATACCACAATAATAACAATTATTATCTCTCGTTTTGTTAAAGCATTAATTAACACCGGTTTTGCTATGAAGCCAACAGTTGGCTCCATAGTGGAGCCAATCTTCTATATACAACAAATAAACCTATCATATTCTCTGATTGCTAAAATAACACCAATATAATCTATATATATATTGAAAAGAGAGGTCAATAAATCATTTGTGGAAACTTTTAAAAAATAATGAGTCAACCATGTTGACATACTAATTATAGCAATCTTTTAAAAATGATTTGTGGTAATTTAAAATGTACAATAATTAATATAATAAGTTGCAAACGTTTTTTAAGAACTCTAAACGCGGTTTAGACAGAATTTTTAATTTTGCACATGATTCTGTTTGATTGAATTGATGCTTTTTTGTTTACATGATTTTGTTTACAAAATTTGAACTGTTTTGAGTGAGAGTTTGTTTTATAAGTCTGTCACATTTTTAAAATCGATTTTGCTTAATATCTCTGATGTGTTTTGAACGCCCTTTTTACGCTATTTTGTTTAATAATTTAATATGTTTTCGATGGTATTTTGTTTAAAAAATTTGCATGCATTTTTATAAATATGTGTTCACATCTTTTAGTTTTTTCTAACAATTATGTTTCAAAATCAAGGTTCTCAACATTCAGAAAACATCATTTTTTTTCAAACAATGCCGAAATATTATAGTAATCTACAATAAATTAGCGTTGACATCCAGGAAAGAAATGATTTTTATAATAATATATACGATGTTGTTTAATAAAATTGACGCGATTTCGTTACGCAATTTTTTAACGCTATTTTATTCAACCAATCCTTAATATTATAGTAAAATACTATGATATATCTCCCAAATTCAGAAAAATAATTTATTTAGAAACATGCAATATGTTTTAAAAAAATATAAATAGATATAAAAAAAAAATTAAATTGACCTAATAAACATTAAATATCGCTTCTTCAATAGGCCATTATTCAAACAGGATAATTATAACCAACAAAATATTTTTGAAATCAATGGGGATTCTTAGGACCTACTATTAGGGTATTTACCATGATTTCAAATACCTGTTTTTCGACTATTGTTATGCAAAAGCAAATAAGAGATAAGATTTTTGGGATTGTAAGAATCCCAAATACCAAAAATTTACAAAATTCATTTATTTATTTGGAATATATCCAAATCTTCTTGAATCGTAGAAATGAATATGCATTTGAATTAAATCCCAACACTCAAATCGGATTTCAATAAGAAAATTTGGATTTGAATATCATTGCGACATTTATTTGACTATTAGAAGTTAGAATCCAAGCTATCAAAAATTCTCTTATTACTTTATCCATAAAGTTTGTTAGGATTCTCAAATCTCACCAATATATTTTGATTAAACATTCGAAATCAAAAGAACCGTACTAACAAAAATAAAATGCATAAATAACAAAGGGATTTTCAATAAAAAATAATATAGTCGGATATATATATGGTGAATTTAAGAAAGAATTACCACTTTTCCAAAATTGAATAATTCAAAAATTTGTATGATTCATAGAATACCAAATATTCTATTAATTAATTTATAAAAAAACACGTGTAATTAGAGATGTATTAATAAAAAATTTGAAAATACAATCAAATGAATTTGGTTTTAAGTTAGATCCTAATATTTTGGTGATTCTAAAAAATCCATACCATTCAAAAATACCAATATTAGTATAGTATAGATATGTACAAATTGGATTGCATATTTGGCTAACTTGGAAATTTGCATACAATATCACACTTTTCAAATGGTATATCCTACATAAAGTTATTGATTTTTTTTTTTTTTTNTTTTCATAACCGCAATATCTATAGATATATGGTATA